ACGTTCCATAAAATACCCACATATCTCTCCGACGGCGTCGTTTCTGCCAATGCTGTGTAAGACTGGAGCGTCGCCGCCACTGATGTCCGATGATCAGCGCCCCAAGAAGATCGCCATGGCCGGGTCGTTGATTCCCGAACCTTCCACCACTGTTTCTCCGAAAGGTTCATTATTCTTCTCTTTCTTTTGCCGAGGGTAGTTTTGCATTTTGTTTAGATATTCATCTATTTATTTATTTGTTATTCTATTTCTGAAGTTTTGTTTTTCTTGAGTACTAATTGATCTTCTGAAATTTTTCTTGGTTCATGTCTATCAAGTTAATTGCGGTATCGCTGATTTTCTCATTTTTATTCATTTTCAAGTTTTAGTGATGTAAATACTAAATTCTAATTTTCAGGGTGCCAAAAGATTGGGAAGCTGGAGTTGACTACCTGGAAGCCGAAGAGCTTGTTTACTTTGAAATGGTTAGTATTAGCATTGACATTTTTGCAAACCCCGTTCAAAACTGGGATGATCCATGTTGGCATTACTTGTAGGAGCCCCAAGGAAAGTATCTGAGATATCTGCCAGATTGAGGTCTTATGTTTTTTTATTATTGTCAATGTTGACATTATCTGAGATATCTGCCGCTAGATCAATTTCCAGTGAAGTAGATATAATGATAAGATAAACTCAACTAACAATGAGATAAAACCAAAATAATCCTAATAGGTGATAAAGAAGAAGAAAGAATTGTATTTTTATATTTTGTGTGAGTATTACAAAGTATGTTTGGAGCTTTTATATAGAGATTACTGAATAGAAACATTTAAAGTTAACCATTGCACTAACTACACAATCAACAAACACCCAAAGTCAACTATTGCATTAACACCTCCCCTCAAACTCAAGATGGTATTGTAGAAGCCAATTTGAGTTTAGAAACTTGAGCAAGAAATTGACCAGGTGGATTTGACTTGGTGAAGATGTCAGCCTTTTGGGTTGTAGTGGCAACAGGAACAAACTGTAAAGTTATACTGAGCAAATGATGACAAACGAAGTGATAGTCGATCTCAATATGTTTAGTGCGTTCGTGAAAGACATCATTATAAGCCATCTGAATAGCACTTTGATTGTCGCAATGAATGGGAGTGCTTGAACGGTGAGAAAAACCCATGTCTTGAAGTAGCCTTCGTAACCATTGTAGTTCGGATGTTGCATATGCAAGAGCTAGATATTCAGCTTCAATGCTTGAGCGGGAGACAACAGTTTACTTTTTACTTCGCCAAGAAATAAGGGATGAACCAAGAAAGAAACAATAGCCAGTGGTAGAGTGACGATCTGTAGGATCCCCTGCCCAATCTGCCTCACAATAACATTCTAAATCCAAAGGAGAGCTAGATGAGAAATGTAATCCATGAAACATGGTACCTTTTACATATCTCAGGATACGAAGAACGACAGCAAAATGAGTCGATCAAGGAGCACAAAGGAACTAACTGACCAAATGAACAACATATGCAATATCGGAATAGGTAACCGTTAGGTAAACAAGACTACCCACCAAAGTTCGATACAAGGTTGGATCTATGAGGAGAGTGCCATCAAAAGGAGAAAGCCGAACATTCTGCTCGAGAGGTGAAGGAGCAATCTTGCTATCCGTCAGTTCTGTTCTGGCAATAAGATCAGAAGCATACTTTGTTTATGATAAATGTAGGCTTATAGAATCAGAAGTGACTTCAAGGCCCAAAAAGTAGCTTAACAGACCAAGATCTTTCATCTCAAAATGAGAATGAAGAAAAGACTTGAGATGTCGAATACCATCTGCATCATCTCCTGTAATAATCATGTCATGCACATAAAGTAAAAGAAGTGTGATACCCTTATCAATTTTCCAAGTAAAAAGCGCGGAATCGTGGGCACTGGACGTGAGACCTAGTTGTGCAACAGGGGTACTGAATTTGGAAAACCATACCTGAGGAGCTTGCTTGAGACCATAAAGTGCTTTATGAAGATGACAAACCTTGTTAGATGGTACAGAGGCGCCAGGAGGAGGCTTCATATAGACTTCCTCGGTGAGGTCGCCATTTAAAAGGGCATTCTTAACATCCATTTGGTAAGTTGACCATGCTTTGGTAGCAACAACAGCCAAAAGGGAGCGAACAAATGTAAGACGAGCAACAAGAGCAAAAGTCTCTTCATAATCGATGTCGTATTCTTGAGTAAATCCCCGAGCAACAAGACGTGTCTTGTAATGTTCAACTAATCCATCAGATCGAGTCTTAATCTTGTAGACCTACTTACAATCAATCACTGACTTATCAGGTTGTCGATCAACAATGTCCCAAGTATGAGTTTTCTCAAGAGCTTGTAACTCTTCTGCCATAGCTTGTTGCCACATAGGATTAGAAACAACCTCACGATAATTGTGGGGCTCGTGAAGTGTGGCTAATGCATAATAACAATGGAAATCACGAAGTTGAGTGTTTGGTTCTCTTACTTGAGTAGATTGATGAAGAGGAGGAGGTATGTATGGAGAAGTATCATTAGGAGCCTCGTTCAGATCAGAAATGGAGGAAGTCCAAGAAGACATATCATCGTTTGAACTAGAAGTATTGGTGAATGAAAGATCAAAAGATAAGTTTGTGAAAATTTGTGGAGAAGATGGCTGTGAAGGTATTGATGATATACTGGCATACTGTTTATGTTCCTAAAAAACTACTTGACGTGAGACACGAAGACGCTTAGATACTAGATCATAGCACCTATATCCTTTGTGTTCTAAACCATAGCCCAAGAAACAACATAACCGAGCACGGGGTTCAAGATTTAATTCGTTCATGATCAAGTAACAATACAAAACATGCACATCCAAAAACTTTAAGAAAGTTATAGTCTAGAATCTTACTGTACAAATACTCATAAGGAGATTGTGTACCTAGTACTGGTGCAGGAATACGATTGATGGTGTAAACTGCAGTGCGAGCAGCTTCGCACCAAAAATTTTCAGGAAGAGAGGAAGAAACAAGAAGAGCACGAATAGTTTCAAGTATGTGTCTATGTTTTCTTTCAGCTCGACCGTTTTGTTGCAAAGTATCCGAACATGATCGTTGTGAAAGAGTGCCATCATTTTTTATAATGCTACTACTCTCATGTGATGTGTATTCACCAGCATTGTCAGATCTAAATTTTTTTTATCTTCTAGAGATCTGAGTTTGTATCATTATATTAAAATCACGAAAAATTGACAAAAGTTCATTTCGTTGTTTAAAGAAATATATCCAAGTATAACGAGAAAAATCATCAACAAAAATAACAAAATGTCGTGATCCTCCCAAAGTTGGTGTTGGGGTTGGACCCCAAATATCAGAATGAACAAAGTCAAATGGTGTAGTAGAAAAAGATTCACTTTTATTGAATGGAAGTGCAATTTGTTTTCCAAGTTGACAAGACAAAGAATCAAAATTGTTATTGGAAACTTTTCCTAAAATACCAATAGAAGCTAATAGTTTTATTCGAGAAAAAGATGCATGACCTAACTTAGAGTGCCATAGTTCTAAAGAATTTGAACATGATGTTGCTTGAGGTGTAGCAGCGATGATCAAGTGTTGTGGAACCTCTAGACTTTGAAGTTCAAACAGTGTTCCAATCTTACGCCCTGTCCCAACTTTCTAACATGTTCGAGGATCCTGCACAATACAACCATGTCATTTGGAAAAGTGTAAATCAAGACCGAGATCACAAAGTTGGCCAACAGAGATCAAATTAAAATTCAAGTTTGGGAGAAGATAAGTGTTAGGCAAGAAAAGAGTGGGAGTGTCGATATTACCAACATGGGTGGCTTTTAGGGGTAGAACCATTGGCAGTAGTAATGATGGAATCATGAGAGACAGGTAGGGCCCGTTTAGTTTGTTGATTCGATTTTTATAATTCGAGTTGAGATGTGAGTTTATGTGAAAGCTTTTTACTGTAGTAAAAAAGTTAGATGTGACTGTTTCTGAGAGCTTTTTACTGTAGCAAAACTCAAATCGGTGAAATGAACGGGGTTGTAATGTATTCTTAGACAATAAAGGATCGGCAATCATATGATTTTCACAGGCAGTATCGAGCAACCAAGTGTTACTTGATGTGACAGCAGACATGACAGTTGTGTGAGATTGGGACATTACTTGATTGATCAAAGCCTGAAGATCATCTGTGGAGAATGTAAATTTGTCAGAAAAAGATTCGGTAGTGACAGAGTCAGTATTAGCTGTGACAGCAGTAGTTGTTGTTCGAGAACCAGAAAGGCGTGTTCCATTGCTAAGATATACTGCTTTGCATTGTTCAACATGATGATTAGTCCTTCCACATCGCAAACACAGTGCAGTAGAGGAAGATGATGTAGTAGTCGTCGTAGCATGAGAATCAGAAAGACGAGTTCCATTGGAATGGAATCTTGCTTTGCAGTTGGCCAAAAGATGATTAGTTCGACCACATCGATGACACGCCTGAGTGGAACCTGTTTGTTGTTTTGGAGTTGCAGCAACAATGGTGTCACGATGATGAGCTTGAGTCATTGCTAGCTGAGTTTCTTCAGAGATTAATTCGGTAAGTGCACTATCCATGGTTGAGAGAGGATGTCAGGTAAAAGTGAAGACCTGGTATTTTCAAAATCATCTCAGAGAGCCATGAGAAATTGAATAAGTCGGATTTGATTTCGACTGTGGCTCTTAATTCTCAAGCATATCGCATAGCTGTTGCATTTTGGAATGAAATTCATCGATTGACTGACTTGATTCTTGACGAAGTTGTGACAAAGTAGTCATAAGATGATACTGATGAGAGAGGGTAGTAGAACTATACCGCGTGGCAATAAAGTCCCAAGCTTCTTTTGCAAGTTCAAAACGCCCAAAGTGCACGTTCATTGAAGGAACAATAGTATTGGTGAATCATATAAGGATCCGATGATTCTTGCTTTCTCATTCCTCGAGTCGATCGGCATACTTGTCATTAGTTTCTTCTGTCTGTTTGACTGGTGCTGTTCTGTCTCTAGTGACAACAAGCCACAGTTTCATCCCATTCAAATAACTCCGCATGGCTGTCGCCCATCAATTGTAGTTATGCCCATCAAGTATTATTGAAATTGGTTGGGCACTTTCTTTTTGAATAGTTGTCTTTTTTTTTTTTTTGAAATAGAAAGAATTCTTTTCTTTCTTTTACTTCTGCTAAAACCAGCTCACGTTAGGAAGGACTGTAAGCATCTATTAGTTTGGCAGATAAGATAGAAATCATTCTCAGTCTAGGCATGTGAAGGCTACATGCTGAACTCTTGCAATTCGAGACTACCTGCGGCCTAACCAAATGGAAGAACACAGATCCAAGCCAAAAATGTGGAAATCTAAAGAAAAGAAGACAGATCGAAAAGAGACAGACCAAGCTT